AGCCATCTTGAATTCACTTCAGTAGCATTCTTGTTGTGAAGTAATCGATGTTGGTACCACCGAAACCCTGAATTCTGCAGGCAGTTCGGGGAGTTCACGATTTTCGTGTAGCGTTCTCGTAGAAGNCTCCCGCCTTCCCTCCCTTCCCACGATCTGGTCGCTAAGATGTCAAAGACACCTCCCGTATTCTGCTTCAGCAACATCAGTAAAGATGGCGAAAAGACGGAAATCATAGGGAAAGCTGTGGTGCACTTATTGGGCTTCGTAGCTACTTTCTCAATACCTGGAGTGAACAACAATTTTGTGATACGCCTTTTAGCATTTGAATACAAGAATCCTTGTCAAACTCCTTGTGAGCCTTTCAGAGGAGAGTCTTGTACAAAGCTGTCACCTACTTGAACTACCGAGCTCATTTGCCATCACCGATTTATAATATCGGGTAGGGAATGTGGAGATATGGCAGTGAAAGCTTAGAAGGGCAACAGTATGTGGCTTGAGATTGATACGCTGTTACATGAGGAATCTGAAGTACTTTAGCGATAGCATTTTGAGAGCTCGTCATCTGGGCGGACATCTGGTTTTAATGGTTTTTTGTTTTTCTCCAAAGCCTTCTCAGAACAAAACGTTTTGGAAGCAAGCTTAAGGGATGATCGGAGACCATACTAGAGAGGGCGAACCAAAAAGCATTGAATGGAAGTCTGGATGAATTGACAAGAATCTGGAATTGAAGCGAGCAACTCGCGGAAGTAAACGTTCCCGATTCTTCGAGAATCAGTGGTCTTCAAGTAAGTGATATGGGGTATGCCATATGTCGGATCAAGAAAAGGCCTAGACAGGCGCAATGAGGGCTCCGTCGACGGCCACACCGGGCGGGCGAGTTTCCACGGCGTTCTAGAGGCTGTATCCGTCGCTTCGAACACTCACACCGACCTATTGCCGTCATAGCCGTGACCTATGACGGCAATAGGATTCAATATTGGACGATTCTAGCTAACTTGTAAGTATAGCCAGCCTTTTATGCCACAGTAACATCTGAAACCACGTCCAATACCCCGTTCAGACCAACTCCGTCATTGTAATTTCGTGAAACATCTATTTTCACTGCTTTCAGGAGCCCTTGAACTGCATTGATTCTACGTCATTTTCCATGTCAAAAATGCACTACTATATAACACTTCCGCCTTCCAACGTGAAAAGATGTACCCAAAAATTGTCAGGACCGTGCTTTTAACCTCTTGGGTATGCCCTCCTTAAGAGTCTCTGAGAGCAAAAGTGATCGCTTTTCATAAGCGAACAAACTTTTTTGTGCCATTCTTCATCTCGTTAAAGAAATTCATCCAAATACCAATTGCCTGTCTAACTATCACATCTAAAAGACATGCGAGAGGGTTATGTACATAGGTGAGCTGTTTCATTGCCTGCAGACACTCGAATTCTGTCAAGTTTCATTGCTACTCGTCTGCTTCATAGGTTCGGATTACAAATTCAGTTTACATATACCTTGTCACCTTTCTTGCCACTTTATATCTTTGCATAGGTCGTTAAATCGAGTTGGTGCTTCCAGATGTAAGAGCTCTACCATTCTCAACTGCATAGTAGCGATTCCGTATGACGCAGTGAGAACTTACTTCATTTATCCCATATAGATTTCTACCGTTTCAGGAAAACTCGAATGACAATGAGGCTTGTGTTTTGCCTCACTCTTTTTACTGTACTGATCGCAGTAAATCACTACGTCGAAGCAAAGTAGGTTTCATGTTTCAGAAGTGGAGACAAGTCATTTATTATAGATGAAGTAATTCGCAAAAATCAGTCATTAGAGCAAAATGAAAGTATGTGTCTCGTACAGCTCCCATAACCTAATGTTCTGCAGGAAACTTTATGTGCAGCTGCCACCAGATGTGCCAGGAGGTGAACCCCGATATGTGAAAGCACCGAAGGTATGCTCTTCACAAGAAGCGTACATCTTTTTTTTATAAGTCATGGAATATTCGAAGGAAATGACTTTGGAGCGTGATACTCCGACAGAGAAATTCAGTTTCTGGTAAGATTAAGGGGAAATACGTTGGCGAAAAAAGGGCTCAAGAAAACAAAGGGATAAGTGGTGTGCAAGATGATTCAAACTCAAAATGGAGTCTCAAATCTTTCTTTCATACGCTTCTTGCGGAATTGCGGTATTTTTTCAATGAAATTAGTTGTTGAAGAAAATATGAGCTTGAAGGTAATGACGGAATACGACAAATGCAAAATGGAATGCAAGCGACAAAGAAGTGCTTCCTATCGCAAAGAAGTATGTAATTGGGGGACTAATAATATCAGTGAAATCATGTTTGTGGTTCTTAAGCATATAACGGCACTGCGTGAGCAGTTGGCCATACTGGAAGCAGAAGAAGTTGCAGCTGCCAGTGACATCAAGGAATCTATGGTCCGGCAACAAGAGGTAGTTCTTGTTTTTCATCGATAAAGAAATCTTCTCCTGTAATTGGCTTTGCATGGGTATTGATCTGAGGGCATGTAGGGATTCAATTGCGACATGTAATGATAATGGCAGGATCGATGAACGAGTTACCAAAAACACTTATTCTTATCCAACCCTGATGGCTGGAAAAAAATTAGAGACAATTCAACAAGCGAATAACATAAAACAGTTCATGCTTGTAATAGGAAATATGAGAACAAGGAAACGCTGCCTAAATCTTCCGCGTTGCTTCATTCTCTTCTACCACAAAGTTTAAAGAGAAACAAAAGGAAAAGCTGAAAATGTATGCCAGATGGGGATTAAGGTAAGACCTAAAAGTTTCACAAATTGTCCCTTCGGCCACAACTACTTTCTGCACATTCACATCATAATTATTTGGGGCAACATTTGTTACCACTTTTGATTATATGTGCCATAGTTTACTCAATTCTCAATGTAAGACTCATTTCATTTAGCGACAAGAAGTGATGAATCGTGTGTTGGTGGATCATGTACCTTCCACCACACTCGGTTGTGGGTTCGAAATACCCTGAAGTTGATCGCTTATCGGGACTTTTGAGGGAAGATGGATGCTTAGCCATCTTGAATTCACTTCAGTAGCATTCTTGTTGTGTAGTAATCGATGTTGGTACCACCGAAACACTGAATTCTGCAGCCAGTTTGGGGAGTTCACGATTTTCGTGTAGCGTTCTCGTAGAAGTTCCGTTTTTCCGACCTCTGCTCTTAAGCCTAAACGCAGTAAACAAGGTGATGGTGGAAACCAAAGAGTACAGAAAGTATACAAAAGTCCAAAAAACGACAAACTGTTAACGAAGAAAGGTGCTGGTACTATCGAAATTTCGTTCATGATGGAATATATCTTTTTGTATGGCAATGAAACGCTCTGATATGTGCAGAATATGCTTAGGTATCTTAGATAGCGCATGAAAAACTCGCAACGTTCGAATTATCGTCAGCAGAAAAATAGGTGTAATCAAAATAGTGCTTCGTCGAATGCTTGCAAGCTCTACTACCTTGCTGATCGTTGGTACGGATTATGTGTAGCATGTGCACAACTGTAGCTCGGGGAGGAGAGCCCGAAGGGAGTGCATGTGCTAATGGTTTTCTGCTAAAAATTTCTCGGCTCCCTTTGGGCCAATTATCAGGCCACGGAGGGCTAGAAGTCTTAGGCAAGTATTGAACTGAGATTCCTATAGCGTGCACCTTGCCACTATCCCAGCTTGTTCAAAGAGTTAAACCTCTTCCTCCGAATAGGAGGTAAATGTCCAGAGTGGTTCAGTTACACAAATTGGAGGTAAGCGTGCCGAGTAGTTTTGAGCTTTCACATTCTTGGAGGACCATGTGTGGAAGCTTATGGCATATGGCAAGGAGGCTTTGAAAAAAGATGGTTGTCATGATTTGAAATCGAGAAGAGATAAGTACGCTGCTGTAGACGAGTTAGCATCAATTATATCTTTTGAATTACCATACGATTTAATTAATTTTATAATACTAATTCGTTCCATTCGACTCCATCTCAAATCTACGAGTAAGAAAATACTAACCCGCAGAAGCCTATGAACTTTGAGTCATCAGAAGTGCTTCTAAGCGCTATACCAGTACCTGTGAACATAGCTTGTGTACTGGAAGAGGCTCCGTAACCTACTTCATCGGGATTGCTGCCAACTTCAGAATTATAGCATTTGAGCTCGTCAGCCATTTAGTCGTTCTTTTTCGGTAGAAGTTGAATGTGCATCGTGAAAGATATCGAAGCCTCAATTTATGAAAGAGGGTCTCTTCAAAACAATGGAAGTCAGTTGGCCTTCATTCAGGAGGAGTCGATAACGTAGGTACTTGAGTAGGTTCGAACGAACGGGACCACAGTAAGTAAAGCCGTCATTAAGAACAGCACAATGAACCCCTTGTTTTGTTGTTTGGTTCTGCGAGATGTGCATGTACTGGAAATATTGTCCGCGTTTCTAACCACTCAAGTGTAGATGGAACCAAGTACAGAGAAAATTCTAAAAAAATGTTTTGGAGGACTCATTGGACCAAACGGATAGGTTGAGAAAGTGCATTCGATAGATGGGTATATATCATCTGTTAAGTGATGTTCTTGCAGCTTTATTGGAGATGTACGAACCGATTTACTTATAAGAGACCCTGCAACATTTCGGAATGCATTTATTTAAAAAGGGCCCCTTACTTCCCGCTGGTATCGCTTTTATGGTTCCGTTAGGAGAAGCCACATGAAGTAATTTTCCCTACTCTCGCACTCCACCGAAAAATTTCATCGCCGATTTGTGGTTTGCGTTGCTTTGTATTGTTTCCGGAAAAGACTTCTGTTATGTCCATATTGCAGAGCCATATGTCAGCTAAGGAAACTGTGCAAGACTCGTCTGGGATTCAAAACGACAACCTATGATTGCGAAACATGGCAGCCAAAGGCGCTCCTCATAACAACGTCGAAATACAATGCCAGTGACTACTCATTTCCCTGTTTTATTCCTCTTACTGAAGTCTTCTGTTGTTGCTGAGGATGTTTGTTTGGTACCTCGGAGTTTTCTATCTTGTCTTATTTCGCTTTTCTTTTCATTTCCTTCTTTGTCCTGCTTTCACAATCGCGTTTATGTTGAATTTTATTTACAGAAAATAAAGCAGTCTCATCATAGCAGAAAGAAAGCTTCGATTGTACATGTTAAGGATCGTACCCAATGAGAAGTCATCCTGAATTCAATTCAAATTCTCATGTTTGGTAGGGGGTTGTTCTACACGCAATAACTGCAGCTGATAGTTTTAAATAAATTTTTTATGAGTAGTTTATAAATTTTTTCAAATGAACACTTCTGGTGCCTGCCGATCTGACCCAGAAATCACTTGCATTTTTCGATTTGATCTTATCCAATTTAATGTATTCAATGAAAGAAATAAACGGAACAGTCGGTTTCTCAAAAAAAGTAATCGGAGTTCAGCTATAGATTACATGGATTCAAAGCCAAGGAATTCCATTGACTTCCTAGGATACTGAGCACGATTTCTACTCGAATCTCCCCTACAGCTACGTCTTCCTGCCTACCCCTACCATCTTAGTCAGGATGTTTATGACTTGGAACAGGAACGAATCGCTACTGATAAGGGTCGCCAGAGCGTATTAAGTCACTATTCACTAAATTTTTATGACCTTTGTGTTGACAGTGCAACCATGGCGCTTTGGTAGGTGATGTAATGTGGGAATTAATTGTATATGTTCCATGATTGGCTTATAGTGAGAGATGCTCGGTTTCGGGAGTAATGTGAAGTGTGTTGGGATCGACAGCAGAGGACAGGGACGAGTAACAACTACGTAACAAAGTTTGATAGTGAATATTAGAATGCAAGAGCCAGTGGATCACTTTCCCTTCTCGTGTTACCAGTGGAGCTTCATTAATCTAATGTATTATGTAGGTTGCGACTGAAACGCACCTAAAAGCTGACAGGAAAGGGAGGGTAGCACGTAATAGAAGCTAAAAATCGACCTTAGAAAGCAACCTTTCAACACCCTTCTTGTTTGCGTTGTAGCCTTAGCCCCTCAGTCCCAGGTAGTTCATTCAATCAGGCCGAGTGGAGAGTAGGTCAAAACATGACGATAGCGCTAATAAGGAGTGATTAAAGACGGTATCATGTAAGGAATGAAAAATTATCCTTTATATCTAATTGATTACGAGCAGCAAAGAGCAAAGACAAGGACTCCGGTTAATAATTGTTATTCTTGATCGACAAAATGACAAGCCCCATTAGGCGCTTCCAAAGTCCAACGACGTGCGTTGATGTCACAACGTTGCCAGGTACACGTTGACAGTGCTGGACATCGTCTTTTGACAACGCTGGCCCATAGCAGACTTCTGTTGACAACGTCCGCGCCGCCGCTGACTGCATTTGTGCTGGGACATATTTTTCCAAACGGTCACCATTCGGGACTTCGGTCGGCTGATCAGGTTGCTTGGTTGCAGGGAACTTGCTGCGATAGTAGACTCAACATCTACAAGAGCTGAAGCTTTGATGAATGGCATTTGCCAATAAGAGGAGCCATAAATCGAGATTCCGCAGTTATGTGAATCATTACAAGTTTGGTTCTCAATGCATAGCTCTTCTTTTATCCGAGATCTCTCTTTTACGCCCCAACCTTGACACTGCACATAAAGGATAAAGGATAAAGTTTTTTGGCGTTAATCAATCCCGTCAGGGGATGCGCCCCCGCACTCGACTTCCATTCAGAATCGTAGTGGCGTAATGAGCGCGTATGTGGCCTATACAATGACTTGCGGTGGCCAGCCGATGTACAAGTCAGTGCTTTTATCCTCCCAGACGAGTCTGGTACCAATTCACCGACCCCGGAGGGATGGAAGGCTCGGTTGGCCTAGGCGGGCATCGATCCGGGATTCGAACCCCTGACCGTGCGTGTGATATAGTGCGCCACTTGCCACTACACCACCTCCGCCCATTAGAGTACCATATTTGTTCTTAAAATGGCGAACGTTATCATACTGTGAATGTAGAGTGCATGGGCGTGCGAGTAAAACTGAAGTATTACATCAGTGGATAAACATCAGCAAAAGCATTAAAAGGTCATAAAACGTGATAAAATTACCATAAGAGTATTTTCTAGTCCTTAAGAAAAAATTCTATAAAATGCAAAAAATCCGTCCTACACAAAACTTGAACCCTAGTCTCTCGCACATGGAGCCTCACGCTTACAGCTACACCAAGCCGCCGTTGAAAAATGAGGTGCATCCACGTAATTCAAGTTTTTTTCTGTTAAGCTAACTGAAACCACCCTCATAACTCCGTTCAGAAAAACGCTCGGCAAATTTACAAAGCATCC